GATTTAGTGGAAAATATCACAAGGGAAGGCATAGATGCAACTTAGATTAATGTATATTACTGTTATTATCTGGGACGAAATGGCTCTGGACATTCTGAACTAAAACTGTAAATCAAATCCTGTTTTGTTGTGTATTAAAAAAAATGTTAAAATTAAATATACTCATCTTTTCATGACAAGCCATATATGAACAATGATCCATATACAAATAAATCACTTACAAAATCATATATTTATGAATCTACATATGAATAAAATAACATATGATGGAATTCTATGTTGGATCCCATATATACTGATATACAGATTCCTCCATATATGAATAAATCACTTGAATAAGATAATCATACTATTTAATATATCAGATGAAAACAAAAATGTGAGCTCATTGTTAGTAGAAAAAGGTGCTACTTTACATTTTTTCTTTGCTTTCATGAAAATATAATTATGAACAAGTCCATATATGAATAAAATAAGTCACATATATGACAGAAATCTATGTTGGATGACATATACAGTACAGTCAAGAGACTGAAACAATTTAATGAAATGTGGAAGAGGTAAATTTTATTGATATTATAAAACTTCGGCCAAATGATGCTTTTAATTTTTAACTTCATTTAATGAAATAATAATCTCCCTCCTCTTAATGTTTTAATATTTTAACATGTTTTTAACTACATTTTAACATTTTATCAATGGTTGTAATCAGTGCAGTGTATCACTGTATCTTGATGTTTGTTATTTTAGTATTATAGATTTTAGACAAGTTAATATAATGTTATGCATGTATTGGCAACCAAAGTTTTGAACCATGTTTAATGTATATTATTACTTGCCAGACCAATAAATCTTGAATTTTGAAGTCAAGGTCTCATATATGAAAAGAAACCGTCACAAAAGTGAACTTATTGTTAGTCAAAAAAGGGTCCACATATTCATGAAATAACCCACATATATGATAGAAATCTGCCTCCTCTTAAATATTTTAACATGCTTTTAAATTTTTTTCCCTAACATTGTATCAATGGTTGTAATCAGTGTAGTTTAATCAGTGTATATTGATGTTTATTATTTTAGTATTACACATTTTAGACAATGTAATATTATAAATGTTGTGTAATCAACCAAAATTTCGAATCATGTTTATATTATTACTTTTGTTTTTGACCAATAAATCTTAAATCTTGAAGTCCGCCACAAATGTGGACTCATTGTTAGTCGAAAAAAGGGTCCACATATGAATGAAATACCCAAAATATATGATAGAAATCTATGTTGGATCATATATACAGTACGGTCAAGGTCTCATACAGTATATGAATAGAAACTGTCACATGAATTCCAATGAACTGTAAAAATATTATGGTTAACAGACACATTCAACTTCAACACAGACAGGATCTCGACTAGAGCAAATCTTCTATATTTGAATGAAATCCTGCATATATGAACACAACCTTTCATATATAAAAACAAAATGCTATGGACAAGAAAGATTAACCATGCAAGTTTAAAATCATCTATACACGGAAAAGATGAGTACCTTTACATTAACTTCAATAAAACAGAATTAGTTCTGTTTCAATCTTTATTAATTTTAAACATACTATTTTTCACATGAACAAAATTCTTTTGAATTTGAATAAAATAACCGTTATGAAAAATCGGCTCCCAGAGTGAGCGTGTCTACTGCATGTTTTAAGTTTTTTTGGCTACTGTTAACTCATAACCCATCCATGCTCTCTGTGTTGGAAATTTACATGAATAAACCTGTACAAGTACCATACTGAGTGTAACAGACTGACTTTTCAGTTCCTTCTAGGTCAGGGCATGGCATTATATTTTGGATCATCTCATCATTCCTCCAATCGGATTTACTCTCACAACTTACAAGTGAGATGATCACTAAGACTTCCTGCCGATTGGTGGAAAACCAGTAGACACAAAAACATCATAATGAATATAATCATTAATTTTATAAATAAATCATTCAAATGAAATTATCATCCATGTATGCATAACATATATGAAAATACATATATGAACCAATTCATTTATGAATAAAATAACCATATATGGTTACCATCTATGTGGGTTCTCATAGACACATAGAATCCAGTGAAGAAAATCAATCGCATGCAATCCAACATCCTCTACAAATATGATTTGCAAAGACAATGTCAACCTTAAGGAATACACCATACGCTGTCACCTGCATCACTCCATATCTTCAACATACGTGCAACTCACTACAGTTTCAGGAGTGACCTGGACATTAGCACTGCCCTCAATGTCATACGTCCATTTGGGGTATATGCGTTTGTAAAGTGTCATTAGGACTGTATCCTGTGACTTCAACTGACCGTCAAAAATGCATTTCATATGGCCATGTGTTCCTGCAAGAATCATCAAGAATATGATTATTTCTAGTAGGCTAGGTAATGCAAGAAAATTACAATTAATAATAATTAATGATAATATATCACATGTTAGTAATTCTGGTATAGAGAAACACCTCCACTGGTAATAATTATAATTATTATCATTAATATTAGAATTAGAAGCATGATAAACCCCAATATAAGGCTTGCCATCCTAAAAACAGCATCAGTGACCGCAAGATGAAAATTGACTTTAATATATTCTTATTCTCCACATTATAAGCTTTAAAATGATGTGTCATTTACTGGAACAAACTATTGCCAAATAATTGAGTAAAAGTATTATAGCTTTTCTGTACTAAAGTATACAATATTGCCACATTCTTATGCCAAATACTCAGTTTAATATATAGCGAAGGTACGCTAGTTTTGGTATTATAATAATACAGTACCTCATTTCCTTAATCATTAGTGGTTAATGAAAGCACGCTCCATAAAGGTAACAAGGTAACACAATTTATATAAATTATCAATACACTTTATTGTCACTTACTTAACATGGCATAAATCATCATTCTATATATATAGCTACTCACCTAAAGGTTCCTTAATATGACCTCGTCGACCCCACTTTGTCTTAAGTTCAATCGGCTTAAACCACATAATATCCTCTGAAAGAGTAAATAAAAGTTATTAAAATCATGTTACCAAAATTATTACTGTATAACTACAATGTGCTAGCTCTTCAAGCTGTACATATAATATTTTCATTCAAAATCACTCACATCTAACCAGGTACCCATTTATTTAATCCTGTGTAGAGAGAGACAAACGTAAATGAAGAACACAAAAGTTATGACCAACATTGGATTCGAAGCCAGAACTACTCGGTTGAAAGCACAAAATCCTCAACCCCTTTTGCCACATGCTTCCATAATAGAATTCATTACTTCACTCCAGCTCACCTCTATTAAAGAACATGTAGCGGACCACTGCTTGTCTTTTCATGATCTTGAACGGATGGCCGCTGAGGACAACTTTCTTCACAACAACCCTGTTAGGATTGGCTCCTAATAATGTTCCTGTAGCAACCAGGGTATGTGATCCTGTAAAACAAACCATATGAATTAGCATAGAGCAGAGGATGATACAACATCTATGAAACATGCATTATTACATGCAATGAAAGTTGAATAGCTGATACATATATATGGCACATATATGAATCATATGATCCATATATGGTTACCACACTGAGACACAGGTAGTGTATATGAGGCTTGCCATCCAAAAACCAGCGTACAGTCGCTATATGTTGAAATGAGTAATTAGCATAAGAATGTGGCGGTATTGTATACTTTAGTATAGAGAAGCCGTAATACATTTTACTCATAACTTTGGCAACAGTAAGTCAATTTCAGTAAATGACCCATCATTCTAAAACTTATACTGTGGACAATAAGAATATTAAAGTCAAGTTTCATGTCTTGGTCACTGATGTTGGTTTCAGGGTGAAAGCCTCATATTGTTATACATTCTGCTGTTTGCAACCTTTCACTCATGTGGTATAGAATCATCTATACATTATCTCAAATACTGTAGTATAAATTATTTTCTCCATAATGTGATATACCTATTTTTATTATTACTTATTTTATATTAGAACATCTGTTAAACAAGCACATCGTTAATATAGCTAATATGCACTTTAAAATTAATTAAAATATCTTTTAATTACTCTGTTGACTCACCTCCTGGTAGTTCCTTGAAGACAAGAATGTTGGCTGGTGGGAAAATAATTGGTGCATATACGCTAGCAACAGAAACGCCATCAATCGGGAAGAAGCGTTCATACTAAACGAAACAAACAAAATAACCTTTCGTCATATAAAAAGACTACAAACTTTCATAGGCTATACACAATTATTTTATTACTATTATCGAAAGAATATATAGCAATTGTAACAGTTTGTAATACAGTAAAACATCCATTTTACGTACCCCTTGCTACCAAGGGGTTTTCGTAAACTGAAAAATTTGTAAACCAGATCGGAAGTCAATTTCCAATACTGGGCCTAGCTATCCACTGCCATTGAGCGCCGATAGGCTGAAGGCGGCGGCCAGGCCTAGCACAAACGACAGTGCAGCAGCGTGGTCTACCGCACTAGAGCCCAGCGGAATTTACCTTCAATAAAAACAAAAAATTATTTTAATCGCTGGCATTTTCCACTTAACAAAATATTATTTTAACTCTTATTCAAACATCTGTATGTTTTATGGACCTTTCTCTCGTGTTTTTTCTAGTTGTTAGATCATCGAACAGTGTTGTTTACATGCATTTCACAATCATATCTAGCATTCACGATGTTAATAAGTTGCTGACCCCAACACTCTCGTTCGTCATCATAAACACATGTGCGCTCGATCCAACGACACTTGCATTGGTAGTTGTTCTCGTTAGGATTATTGCATTAACATAGTGATTATTATACCAGAAATGGAAGAAAAGATCGAACTATTAATAAATAAATAAATAAAAAAAACTTGATTTTATTAAGAAAAATATACATTATCACTTTGTAAAACGTGCAATAATTGGTCGATAATGATGTCATCAGGGGCACAAACCATTCGTAAAATCGACTAATCGTAAAATTTACGTTAGTAAAATGGACGTTTCATTGTATTTCGTTTTAGTAACACAAATGTTAATTAGGCTTACCTTCTGTTTGTCACCGACAGTGTGCTGCGAGAAAATCGGACATGCTGTGAAGCGTCTGTAGCCTGTCTGAAATATCAGACGGTCTTTGGACTTGATAGGTTCTACGTAGCCTTGGTGCCTCTTGAGGGCAAAATGCAAAACAGACATCTGGGGAATATAATCAAAGCTAAAAGTAACCCACAGCTAAGAATCTTTGAGGTACAAAAAATCCACTCTTATCATTTAGAGTTTACAAATGTTATCACCCACCTACCCTTAAAAGTCTACCACCCACCATTAGTTTTCAGAAGCTACAACTTTTGTACAATTTTCTCAGCCTGTTATCAGTCTTGGGTGATTGCAAAAAAGGTTGGGAAATTAAAATTGGTGATTTTTTCATCTTAAGCACACTTTTAAAATGTGAAATCGATTAAAGCAATTGACATGAATTTCTAATTATTTCTTAAGAAAAAATATGCAAATCTATTTCTGTTTTAGATTTAACATACCCTTGCTTTATCATGTGTGTTTATTATTTCTGGTGTTATTATAGTTTAATTTGACTATATTCCATTGTTTTGCTTGAGGGTTTCTCAGTGCAGCCAGGATTCATCCACCATAAGGTTCCCAAATTGGGGAGACTTGCATTTCACAGCTTCCCTAGCACCTCACTGGCACCACAACTAGTACTGTACCAGTTAAGAATATTCAAAATGCGACCAACTTTCTTTGGATTCTGAAATGCATCTTAGAGAACACAAGAGCCAATATTTTGTTTATATTACTTACCTTTTGTTCATGTTGCAAAAGGCCAAATAATACAAGTGGCTTCTTTTCATCATGGTTATCTAAAAATACAAATAATATTAGGCACATTATGATACCTGAAATTTAAATATTAGTTGAACATAATGTCAACACCTTGATCATTGGAACTCATTTTTAAATAAATTTTTAAATTATTATAAAAAATAAGTAACATTTAACATTAACCCCGGTATTCTTAAAAGAATCCTTAGTTGTAGTTCGAGATAAAACTTCAAAATTACATCATTTCGTATTCTAAAAACCAACTCCAACTAGCACCTCAACTAAATCATGCGAACCTCGACTAAATTTATACCTCCACAGGCCGATTTTTTAGTCAGCCTAGGGTCAGGCTAAATCACCAACATGAAATATTTACCCCATTAAAAACATGCTTTTTGTAACTCACGATAAAGTGAAAAGAATAAAAACAATTGCATAAGTAGGTCTGATGTAATATACCCTTTTGAAAATCTTACCTATAAATGATTTTGGTACATTTGCTATGTGTACAGTTACATACATTCCAGGCTTGAGGGAAAAGATAATAATAATATATATAACACTGTTAAAATGCATTCTGAAAACATATTCAGTTAAACTTGCCTAACTCGATTTTGCCCAACTCAAATAATCTATCAAACTTATATTACATGCCAAATTATTGTGTTTTCCATTAAATAACAATCTCTAAGTCGAATTTTATTTAAGTCAAACAATTTTTCAATGGAATTTTGGATTTGACTTAGGTAAGTTCAACTGTATTGTACTTTTAAAAGCATATCATATAAGATGTACTGTAAAGAACATACTGTTAAAACATGTATTGAAAGGCATAAACAGTATTTTACAACATGTACTGTAAACATGTGAACATCAAAACAACTGTAAAGCATATACTGTAAAAAAATCATTTACTGTAAAGAACACGCTGTTAAAACATGTATTGTAAGGAATAAACAGTATTTTAAAACATGTACTGTAAACATGTGAACATTAAAACAACTGTAAAGCATACACTGTAAAAAAATCATTTACTGTAAAGAACATGCTGTTAAAACATGTATTGTAAGGCATAAATAGTATTTTAAAACATGTACTGTAAACATGTGAACATTAAGACAATTGTAAAGCATATACTGTAAAAAAAACATGTACTGTAAAGAACACACCGTTAAAACATGTATTGTAAGGCGAGACTATTTTTTATTCCTTGTTTCGCATACTTATTTTTTTCAAAGATTATTGGAGGAGGGCGTAATAAAATTAAAAATAATTTTAGTTTCTTAATTAGCAAATACTTTTGCCAAAATCATCCAGACGGAAGAGAAAAAAAAATAACATTTTATTGGTGAATGTAAAATGGGATGGTTAAATGCTTCAAATTTATATAATTGGGAAGAAATATACATAAAGCATATACTGTAAAAAACACATGTATTGTAAAGAACATACTGTTAAAACAGTTGTAAAACAATTGTAAAGCATATACTGTAAAATCATGAATGGTAAGCTAAATACTATAAAACATATGCTGGAAAGCAAGGATGAAGAGTATTTAAGACTAAAACACTTTCTTTATCAAAGAACTTACTTGGACTTCAGAGTCTATTTCTTCCTGCTGAACTTTTTTCTTTGTACGATTAAAATTTTGAAATTGAAAGATTCTTGCATAGTCTAGAGGCAGGTTCTCTTTAGGATCCCAAGGTGACGAACGAAAACTTTTCAAACCTCTGTACCTAAAGTGCATGACAAAAACATAAAAATAAGTACCATGATATTAAAATTGTCTTACAAGTTGATAATGATGGGTTCTTGATGTTATTAATACATTTATTACAATTTGAACCACATGTATAGTGTGATGCTTCCAGTTAATTCTGAAAGTTGAATTAATATTTGGGTTTCCACTAAATTCAATTAATTATTGTGATACTTTATATACTATAGAATACGTGATTCACACAATAATGTTACACACGTCACAGGCTATGAACATTTTAAGATGCGTCCCGTGCTAAATTGCATCTGTGTATGCCTATCAGTGTATGAATAGCATGCGTTTTGTGTAATATCTATGTAAGAAACAAATATACATATTGCATAGGCCTCTAACACTTCTGAGATACTTAACAAGCATATGTGCCCATGCCCAGAGGCCTCAGCGTACAATCAATATTTGAACTTATGCTTAACTTTAGTGTCCATGTTTGAATTTTACTTACCGTGCAAATCGATTTCTCGCTGTAATATCTCTCGGAGTGTCAACTTCATCGGGAAACATGGCATTCATGCGTTCTTCACGATACTTTTGTAGCCTATCCGAGAAATGAGAAGAAAATATTGCCTATATTGTATTCTTTATTCCAACAAAACTCAAACCTAGCTAAGGCCAAGTATTTTAAATAGGACTTAGATTATGTATTAAACAATTACAAACTGTTAATTCTTTGCTATGACTAACACATATTTTTACAATAAGCAAAAGTCAAAAATATGCTTACATTTCTAGATCTTCTTCTTCATCAAAATGCACTCGGTCATAATTATCTTTATGCCCTCCTGTTATACTAATCTAAAAAGAGAGGGAAAAAAAACCTAATTTTACCATTTTTCCAGAAAGTGATGATATCGTATCCCATCCGTATATGGGCAAATCAAAGGTATTTCGATCAGAGCATGGTTGATCAATGCAAACATTTTACACAGTATGGTTTTCAAAAATTCTTATTACTGTTTCAAAATCATTTGTATCAGCAACACTGGCCATTCCATCAGCATCCTCTTCATCGCTGACTTCTCTTGCTTGGAGTTCATCGTCGTCATCTTCCATTGCAGCATCATCCTCATCGCTGCCTTCATCTCCCTGAAAGAAACCAAAATCAAAAAGTAATATCTATTATTAAAGTTACAATTTATTAAAATATATATAATTAACTTCATCATTATTAAACTGATCAAATTGTCAATAACTCCCAATGAGAGACAGCTTGGACAAATTTTTAATTTTATTGCCAAAATATGAATGTAAAGAATTAAGGAACAGTATTCTCTTTACATCAGAAAATATTGTCTTATTTTAATTTTATTTAATTTTAAAAGCCAATAACTTTTTACTTCTTAAAACAGGCCTAAGCAATTCAAATAGCAATTTCAAATATTCACGTTTATTACCCAATCAAATACTGTATATCTTTATATCTGAAATACTATACACTAACCGATTCTTCTTCTTCCTCCTCTTCATTGTCCAGAATCCAGGCAGCCTGATATTCTGATGTTCCCTTTGGTACTTTCCTCAGAATTTTCTTTGTCTTCTCTCGAAGGGCAGCTAATGAAAAGCACATTAACAGAGGTTACATAATGTTTGGATCAGGACAATTTGTCACATAAAAAATTATCATATACACTTAAATAGATCCAATCACTATTCTGAGCACACCTTCTGCATCTGCCATCTCCTCTTCTGTTGGCCATGTTTGCTCTCCTTCCATTGGGTCCATCTCTGCCTCAGCCTGCAAGGATTCTTGTTTGGCTGTGTCAACAACTTCTAACACTTTGATGTCCTCTTCCATGGCCATTTCATTGTCATCATCCTAAAGTAAGGAGAAACATTTTATTCTATTTTTAGGCTCACGGTCAAGGATATGCCAATAGGGAAATTAATCACTTTACTGAGTGGCAATCCTTTCACAAGACAAACATATAAACAATCTACATAACCTAATTCTCATTATGAGGCTTAGGGAGTGGAGTTTAGGTCGAGAGAAAATAAATCCTGTTACCATGACGGGGATTGAACCCAAGACCCTGGGATTGGAAGTCAAGTATCTTAACCACCAGGCTATTCAACTCCATTCCAAGCGGTTTATTGTTTTTTTTATTTATTTATCAATCTGGCATCAAAAGACACAGAATTATTCAATATAAGAATACAGTATTATTATTATTGAATGATAATTTTTGGTTATTATTATAAATAATAACAATTTTAATGCAGTAAAAATATATAAATTAATAATTTACTTATTTTAGTTTAAATGTTTGCTGATATTGATATTTAAACATTCAACAGAATTTTCTATATTTCTGTTGCCTATTTGGAATAGAGTATAAGTATAAATTTAACAAAAATTAGCATATGTCTCCTTTTACTTACTGTATTCATATCATTTTGTCTACTTGTCTTCTTCTTTACAGGGTGGTTGAAAGGGCAGGGGTCAGGAGGAGAATCGATCTGCTTCATTTGGAATTCTCCGTACCCTAATATATGAATCAAACCATTTACAGATAACGGACGCCCTCTCAAGAAGCCAGACACTTTCAATGTACCAAGAAGTCCCTTTAAAAAAATTTCCATATTTTTTTTATTAACTTACCAATCAAATAACTTATAATTGTATCTGGCATGTATGTAGCAATACTTAACACTTTGAGACAAATACCTGTGACACAGTATTAGCATCACTTCCTTTCTACACAAACGCCTGGAAGGGCTATACCATGTAGTGTGCGGGCATGGGTTCGTTGGCAATAGATATATTGATTTATTATTTATTTATTTATACAGGCACACAACACATGCACCAAGGATTGTCAATAGCTAATCTATCACTGTCCTACTTGTAGGCAACAACCCTTTCACAAGACAAACATACATACACGATGCTTCACACAAACTAAATCTCAATATGAGGTTTAAGGAGTGGAGTTGTTTGGTTGTGAGAAAAATTCCTCCAACACTGAGATGAATTGAACTGGGATTGGAAGGCAAGTATCTTATTCTTAACCACCCAGCTATTTATCTCCACTCTATACTATGTAGATAGACAATACTGTAGATTCACTGTGTACTGCATGACATAGCACTTTTGCTACTGTGCTGGCTGGTGTTGCACTGTGTGTAAATTAACAATAATGAAACATGTTTAGAATATATTAAGAGGATTACCTGCTCGGGATTAGGTTCAAAGGTTACAGTTCGAGCAAGCACATGAGGACGTGTATCGCGCCACCTGATTGATGATAGCTTCTGGTCTCCAAGATGACGCAATAGCAATATACCATCTTGAGGTGAATCTAGTGTGTATATCTTATCCTTGGGAAACCTTGCAAAAAAAAAAAACTATGGTCGAATAAACTAGCCTTCACAAAACACATGTCAATCATGTTGATATAGAAATTACTTCCAAAAACAGGTGCTTGACAAACACAATCTGACAGCTAATTCTTGGCTGAGCAAGCTGATAGCAAAACCGGAATATTCAGCAAGCTTAAAGACTATTGCATTACACAATATTATATTTGTTTGTGTGAGTTATAATTTAATTGCACCTTGTGAGAGAGTGTTTTTGTTGCTGTTGCCTGCTGGTGTTACATTCTGTGTGAACAGGCCTTAATGAACATCTTTAGAATATCTGCGCTCTGAGCAGTAAAATTATAAACATACCTCTTTTCAATAATCTTCTGTAAGTTCTTTTTGGATTCAGATTTCTTTTTGATTGGTAGATCTCCCATGCCCTAAATTCAACCATATATCGAAGAATTAAACTTGGTAGTTTGTCAGTAGGTGAAGATGCTGAGAAATACTCTTCAATTTAGTAGCACAATTAACTCATGCATTGCTAGTTACATAGTTAGCCAGCTCCTCAATGATTTCATTTATGGTCTTTGGTTTGGCCACAACATGTGATCTGCAACATTTCAGTTCCTCAGTAACAAAATGACTGAGAAATATTCTAGTTCTGCTTTATCATGTGCTCAAAATGTAACTTAATATTTAAGTAAATAATTTACTAGATGCATTACTATTGAATATAACTATATTGTAGCGCGTATTTGGATAAATCTTACTATACGGTACATACATTGTCAAAATTTAGTCAAATTTGCCTACGACAGGTGAGTATTGTCCTAACAACAGAGCCAAAGGCGGGACATACCAGATTCCCCTTCTCCAAAGTAAGTCAAAGACAAATATTGTTGAATAGCGAAAATACCCAGTATACCCAAAACTTGCAAACTTTATTTTTCAAAGATTATCAGAAGGTGCAAAAATAAGTAGATATGCAACTTCAGTTGTCAGAGCACCACTGAATATTGCATTTTGAAGTGGATATTGGTGCTATACAAATCCATGTTGACTGATTGATTAATGACAATAATGCTTTACCTGTACCACTAGTGTTGTTGCCGGCAAACCTTGAGCAAACAAACTTGTCAGGCACAGCTCTCCCCAAGCGTCCCAACCTTCATCCGGTGACAGCACCGCAACTATAGCGTCAGACGCCTTTGCTGTATCAAGTATCGATGTTAACTCCGGTGGAGGGATGAGGAACGTGAAACGTTGTTTAAACCGAGGAATACTGATGGGCGTAAATGAAATTATATTTATTATATGAAAATACCACCTCCAGAGCATGGATTTAATTAACGACAAAATTTGTTAAATGTTCACCATTTTAAATTGTATTATATTTGGTAGGAAAGCTTGTAAATACAATGCTGCCATTAAGCTTCGGCTGCTACTGATTGTATAGATTGAATAAAGAATTTTGAATTTTGAAATTCATTTAGGATTTCCCTACCTTAGGTCACAGGTCAACCCGCTTGAAGACTGTTTGATAACCGCAGATTCGTCACATGACATTAGCATGTCCAGCACATTATTCACATTTGTATCTTTGTGAGTACAGACGATTGTCTTAAATTTTAAAAAAGGCATTTATATTTTAAACAATATTTATTAGAGTTTAGGAAGCATACAACGTAGTAGTACAAGTCTAAAAATGCATCCTCAGTGGCAGCTCCAATGGGAATAAGAGGTCAACATCTCACCCCCACCCCACCTCCATCAAACAAGAATTGACTCCCTTCATCTTACGCACAATGAGGTCATTCAACTATATCAATTGCTAACCCAAAGCTTTTGCGATTGCCAATCCCTAATATTGATCCCTATCGCTAAAGAAGATAGGCAATCTTGAATGGTGGATTCTAAATGGTCAAATAGTTTGGTTTGAATAACGGTTTCATTATGATTTTATGAGCATCATGAAAATTATGCACACATATAAATTTATTGTTTTATATAATAAAAATCTACTTAAATATAAAATGTCCATTACCACAAGATGCGGGGCACCATCCTTTCCGCCAATCTTCCTCTTCTTATTAAGCAAATCAGTTTTCTTCTTTTGCCTAATTTGATTTGCCTAAATAGAAGTAGTCAAAATTGTTATTCAGTTGTTTAAAATAAATATTCGTCAAGTTCATCATCCAATTTAATTAAATATCTTATATTTTAAAATTTTACCATAAACAGTCAGATCTATAAACAGAGACTTTGTAAGTTTAGTTCTAAATTCTGCAACACTTGAAAAAGTAAATACATACAGTGGCAGTCACTACTAGAAATTGATAGAGAATAAAGATGAAATTAGGAGAAGAAAAAATAAAATAGAGGAAAAGAAGATGAAGAAATGGAAAGAGGTGAAAGTTAAGAGGCTTGAGGAGAGATTGAGAGGAGAAAAGGAAAAAAAAAAAAACGAATAAGATGGATGAAAGAAATTGAGCTAGGAAAGAGTGGTTGAAGATGAAGAAGGAATTAATGCAGTGGCATATCTAGAAGTCTTGAAAATGGGGGGGGGCTCAATGATCAGTTGAGGGGCGCTAATTCACAAAATAAGGTGATTTTTAACTACTTAGAAGGGGGGGGGGCGCAAGTAATTTGGGGGATCCGTCCCCCTCCCACGCGCACCCCTAGACACGCCACTGAATTGATGATACAAACCTGATGACGCCGCTGATTCTTTGTGAGTTCTTTGTGCAATTTCTTGCTCAATGTTTTGATACTAACCCGACCTGCAATTTCAGAAAGGCATAGAGTTCAGTTGTTTTGCATTTTTATCGCTATCTATTAGGCTCAGTAAACACGTAACTTGATTGATTTGGTTGTAAAATGTTCAAATAAACATTTTCACCAAATAATTCATCATATCACTAAATTAAAATTATGCCAAGGTATTACTGTACTACTTACAGCAGAAGCAACCCTCTATTAGACCTATAACTAGAAATTGCAAGTGAAGTGCTGCGAAGTACAACTACATATAAATGTTCTTCGAACAAAATTATTTATGCAAATCAAGTGAAAATAATGAATAATAAAAATATTAATAATATGAGACACGACACATTGTCTATATTAGAACACTTCTCATTGGATAACAAAGTCATATTTTTTCTTTTTTGTCAAAAAGTGTCTATAGTGGTGAATTATGGTTTAGGTCTTTCTTAATAAAGTTTCAAAATTTTCTATGTATGTGGAAAATGTAGTTGATTACCAAAGGTTACAATTTGTATTTTGAAGACTGCATGGTCTAGGAAGTGTAAATTTTTTTATGGGGCAAGTTTCCAAGGGCGGGTTTTCTAGGGGCGAGTTGACTGCCAAAGAGTGTTGCCAAAGTGAGAGCCAGCGTGTTATTTGATCACAAGTGCGAGACATCCCAAGTGTGAGCCAGTGAGCCATGACGTCACGACAATAGATACGAGACGTTACTCGAGTTGTGCGAGGTACCGGCTGAGATTTATGGAGTACAATTCAAAAAACAACTAATAATGAATTATTGTGATGTTAAATACACAATGTTAGCTATCAAGGAGCTTCGTCCCTTCAAGGCTAGGCCTATACCATCCTAGCTAGTCTAGGCGTAGAGTAGGATAAGGCTAGCGCGACATGCGGACGTTGGTACGTGTTGGTTAGTCTACAAATGTCGCCTAAAGTAATTGATTTAACCCGGCAGAACGAAAGGAGACACAGCTTTTCAATCGTCTTAGGCCCTTGTTTTTTGACAATGACCTTTCAGAGGTCAAATTGCTGTCAAGAATATGAATTGGCTGCTTCGCAGCAATTAATATTTCTCTCTACCCTTTTTTTCAGGCGTTTTATAGTAAAAAAAAGTAGCATTTTTCATCATTAATGTTTATACAGTACAAACATGAAGTTTGTAGAAAAATTAATAAATTTACTATTTAAAAAAAAATGATCACTTCCTCATAAGTCGTGTCAAACTCCACTGAACAGGAGTAGGCCTTGCCAGTGCATATGCTGTTGTGTATTTTGATGCGTTTCTCATCATGTTTTGGTAATGGTAGGCCTAGCCTTCGGCTGACGAAATGTACAATCAATATTAATATATAAATATTGGTGCGGAAGATACCTTTGGACACAGTTTCTAGTTGACCTTTACTACGATGTCGCCCTGTTTTGTGCGTCTTATTCTTTTGTTTCAAGGCGCTTGGACGATGAGTTTGTTGACTGTCAACAGCCATCTTGAACGCACACGTGTTCTTCGTTGTGATGTTTATTTTAAAATGCATAGCGCCCTCAATAATTTCTTCGATTCGTGCGTCTCAAGAGAGGTGTGGTTGTTACGACGTTATAGACCGGGAGCCCAGAAAATTTAATCATGTGAAAAGAGACAAAAGGTTTGATGGTCTGGTCATGAT